CAAGGTGGGAGGACTGCATGAGGCCAACAGTTTGAGACCAGCCTCAGCAACATAGTGAGACCCCCTCTCTACAAACAAAAATAAAAAAATATTTTAAAAATCTAATGGCATTTTTTTGCAGGAAAAAAAGTAACCCATCCTAAAATTCATATAGAAATTCAAGGGACCCTGAAGAGTGAAAATAATCTTGATAAAGAAAAATGTTGGAGGACAAAAAGGTTGTAAGTTCCATCCTTTCTAATTTTAAAACTTATTATAAATCTATGATAATCAAAACAGTGTGGTACTGGCATAAAGACAAACATACAAACTAACAGAATAGAGAGTCCAAAAATAAATTCTCCTATGTGTGGTCAAATGATGTTTGCCAAGGGTGCAAGGATCACTCCGTGGAGAAAGGACAGTTTTGTTTCTTTACCCCAACAAATGGTGCTGGGTAAATTAGATCTTCACATAGAAAAGAATGAAGTCAAATTTTTACCTTATACCAAATATAAAAATTAAAGTGGATTAAAGACCCAAACATAAGACCTAAAACTATATAAAACTCCTAGAAAAAAACATAGAGGAAAAACTTTTTTTTTTTTTTGAGACGAAGTCTCACTCTGTTGCCCAGGCTGGAGTGCAGTGGCATGATCTTGGCTCACTGCAACCTCCGCCTCCCAGGTTCAGGCAATTCTCCTGCCTCAGCCTCCTGAGTAGCTGGGATTACAGGCATATGCCACCACGCCCAGCCAATTTTTGTACTTTTGGTAGAGATGAGGTTTCACCATGTTGGTAAGGCTGGTCTCAAACTCCTGACCTTGTGATCCACTCACCTCAGTCTCCCAAAGTGCTGGGATTACAGGTGTGAGCCACCATGCTCGGCCTGGAAAAACTTCTTGATATTAGATTTAGCAATGATTTCTTGGATATGATACCATAAACATTGGCAACTAAAGTAATAATACACAAATTGGACTACCTCAATTTTTTGTTTGTTTGTTTTTGAGACAGAGTTGCCCTCTGTCACCCAGGCTGGAGTATAGTGGCGAAATCTTGGCTCACTGCCACCTCTGCCTCCCAGGTTCAAGCAATTCTTCTGCCTCAGCCTCCCAAGTAGCTTGGATTATAGGTGTCCGCCACCATGCCCAGCTAATTTTTTGTATTTTTAGTAGAGACGGGGTTCGTCATATTGACCAGGCTGGTCTTGAACTCCTGACCCCAAGTGATTTGCCCACCTTGGCCTCCTGCACTACCTCAAAATTTAAAACTTCTGTGCATCAAAGAACACAATTAATAGAGTGAAAAGGTAACATATGGAATGTGAAAATGTATTTGCACATCGTATGTCTGATGGGGAGTTACTATCAGAAAACATAAATAACTCCTACAAGTCAACAACAAAAAACAATTTGATGTAAAAATGGGCAAAGGACTTGAATAGACATTTCTTCGAAGATATACAGTTGGCAAATAAACACATGAAAAGAGGCTCAACATCATCAATCATTCGGAAAATGCAGATCAAAATCAAGACATGCCACCTTACACCCATGAGGATGGTTACTATGCAAACAGAACAAGATGGTAGGTGGTGTTGAGGTGTGGGGAAATTGGAACCCTTGTGCACTACTGGTGGGAATGTAAAATTATGCAACTACTACGGAAAACGATATGAAGTTTCCTCAAGGAATTAAAAATAGTACTACCATATGATCCGCAATCCCACTTCTGGGTATATAACCAGAAGAATTGAGAGTAGGGTCTCAAAGAGATATGTGTACACCCATGTTCACAGCAGCATTGTTCTCAATAACTAAGAAGTAGAAGCAACCCAAGTGTCCCCTGACACATGAATGGATAAAGAAAATGTGGTTCATACATACAATAAAATACTCAGCCTTTAAAAGAAAGGAAATTTTGACACATTCTACAACATGGATAAACCTTGAAGACAGTATTTCAAGTGAAATAAGCCACAAAAAGACAAATATGATTCCACTTATATGAGGTATTTAGAGAAGTCATATTCACAGACACAGAAAGTAGAATGATGGTTGCCACGGGAGAGGAGCAGTGGGGACTGGGGAACTGTTTAGTGGGTATAGAGTCAGTTTTGCATGATAAAAATGTTTTGGAGATTGGTTGTAAAACGTGAATGTCCCTAATGCTACTGAACTCTATACTTAGAAAGGTTAAGTACATTTTGTTATGTGTATTTTACCACAGTTTATTTTAATGCCAAAAGCTCAGAAAACAAATCAAGAAAGACTAACACATGTACTATTTGTGGTGGGTTGTAGCCAGAGAGGAAGGTGAAAACCAGTGGGCAGTGATGGACGGTTGCAACTCCCATGACAGAAACATGTTTGAGGCATTTATACGCACATAATAAACCCAAACGCCAAATGAGCTCTCATGTGTAATCCATAAAATCTCCTAGGACACTAGAGATCAAGTTGCTACTCAGCACTGAGCTTGTACAAGTGCAAAATGTAAGGAGAAACTTGACCTTGGGCTTCATTTAACTCCTACTTGTCAAGTTCTTCATTTCTCTGAAACCCTAGAGCTTCAACATGCTAAAGAGCTAACAAGCTTTAAAAATAGTTATTTTTCTATCATTACCACAAATAGACAGTTTACACTGAAATTCTATTTGAGCTCATGGCTTCCTTGAGGATCAAAGAAATAGACAAGATGAGGCCAAAGAGCTCTTTGTGTTCCAGGAAGCACAGGACAGGGACAGGTAGGGTTGTGGTCTTGCCAGGGCCTGGGTGGACTCACTCACTACTTGGAGCAGACACTGAATGAGCTTCTGGCCTTGGACCTCCCCAAAGCCCACAAGGTGGCCACTGTGGTCTGGACCTTGGAGCAGGTACTAATGCTAGATTGTTACTGGCATTTTGGTAACTGCCTATTTTTAGTACTTATTTTCAAATTTAAAAATGTTTGAAGCCTTTCATTCTGAACCCTGTCCACCCTACATTATTTGGTTTAAATAATACGACATCCTCCTAAGTTTCCAGGGCACAGAACACAGTGTTGGGTCTCTGGGCGCCTGTGAGCAAAAGATTTGAGGTTGCAGGCATTCTCCCCTCCAGTCAGGTGACAGCCAGGAAGATGGTCCCTGTTAAGTCTAGCAGAGTGGCTTAGACTCCCCTTTTCTGCAGCTGCCTGAGACATATGTAAATGGCTGTCCCCTTTGAGAAAACAGAGATAAGTACTGGCAGCAAGTGACCTATCAGACTTAACCCCGGTTCGCCATTCTGTCCTATAAGAGTTCCTGTGTTTCCTTGTGTTATAACAACTCCCCAAATCCATTTCTTTGGGGAACGGCTGCTTCCCCAATCTGTGGGGTTCTGGTGGGCCTGCAAGTCACAGTAACCAGTTCTCCCCTCCCCACAGGTGTGTACATTAGGGCAGGCCAGGGTGAGGCCTTCCCTGGAATTCCCAGCTTGTAGGGTAGGGTCAGTTTCTGTATGACCTCGGGACACTCCACATAACTGTAGCCTAGCATGTGAAGAAAACCTGCTGGCAGTGGAGAAGGATGAAGCCGACAGACATGAAATGACAAGTGGAGAGCGGGAAGGAGAGCTCAAGTGCCCTGGAGGCATTGCATCCTGACCCCTGCGTGTTCTAGGGAATACCCAGTTATTAGCTCTTTGACCTTGAGCAAGATATTCATCCTCTCCAACCATTTGTTCCATAATTTATGAAACTGGGAGAGTAAAAGCTCTTTTCTAGGATGGTTGTGAGAATCAGACCACGTAAGCAAAGCCCATGCCCTTCCCAGGTCTGGCGTTTACTCAGCTCCTCCAGTGCAGGAACCTCCTGAGCTCCCCTCTTCCTCCCCTATCAGGTTGGGCCTGTAAAGTAGAAATCTGGAACTAATACAAGTCTAATGAATAAACGGATAGTTGAACCTATTCTGGAAGTTCACTTTGTGTTTTTTTCGGGGATTGTAATTATCTGAGCATTTTTACCACCTGTTTCATCAGAAGTCTATGCTGCTGATTTTCTCTTTTACTCATCCTTGCAAATCCCCCACTTTATGCAACACCAAGGGCCCGAGGAACTTGCCCAAGTGCAGCCTTGAGCTTGATTCAGTTCCTGCCTGCCCCCTCATTATTCATGAAGTCTGAGAGCTGCCGGAGGTGACTGGGAGACAAGAGAGAAAACTCTACTGAGTTCCCAAACTGCCAAGCAGAAAGACAAGGCTGCCAGCCTAAGGCAGGACAAAGAACTGTCCTGCATTCTAGAGTCTAAGTCAAGGAGATCACTAAGAGGTTTGTTTAAATCCTGGACCATGCTATGTTTGCCTCTCACTGACTTCCTGGCTTGGCTGCACTGGGTTGTCCCCTTCCTTAGTGCCTGGCAGGCTAGGAAAGTCCCATGTCTGTGTCACAGGGTTTGGCACATGGTGTTTTTCACATGGGATGCTACGTCAAGATTTGTGTCTGAGGCCCCAACTGATAATATCCAATGGCTTTTCTCAAGCCATTCATGATCTGTTCATCCACTATGAAGTCCCTGCTACACGCGAGGCACAGCAAGTATGCTCTGTATCAAATACCAGGCATTATCCTAGTGCCCTCAAGCAAACAAACACCCCGTGTGTAATGGTTTATAGAGCCATGCCGGATTCCTGCTGCCTGAGGAATAAACAGCCCAGTCTTGAGGCCTCCAGTAGCTGCTGAAAAATCTGAGCTTTTAACACGGTCTCTTTTCGGGTGTCCAGTTCTTAGTATGGTCAGGCTCTCAAACACCTGCTTTTTAACAAGAGCTCACTGAAGGCAACTTCTGCTGGCATAGCGTGTTGGGCACAGGTGGTCTCAATGACTGTTTATCCTAAGTATGCATGTAAATGGGAAAAGAGAAAATTACATCGGGCAATCGAGTCTGATTGTCATTTTTCAGCTGTGTGTGCAAGTCTACTCTAAGGCAATTCTTAATGTACACTTGATTTCCATGTTTCCCTTTTATATTCCCACCTGCTGCTGGCCTTTGAACAACCTTACCTGAGCAGAGAATGGCTGCTTCTCTGGCAAGACGTTTCTAGAATGTGTGTGCTGGGCCAAAGCTTGGACCTGATCTTTTCAGAGATCTTGTGGATGGACTGATAGAGAAGAAAGCAAACAACTCATGAAGCAATGTATATGGACAAAGAGGTGCTACAATGATAAAAAGGGATAAAGTAAAAAATACAGAAGAGTCTAATCAATTCTGCATCATAGTGATTCAAGGCACATACTAACATGAATTTTACAGAGAACCAAGGCCTTTTTGATCCAATGCCAAAGCACCAGGAGGTCTTTATTAACTGCAGTAAAATATACACAACATAAAATTTACCATGCTAACCACTTTTTTTCCTCTTTGAGACTGTTACCCAGGCTGAAGTGCAGTGGTGGGATCATAGCTCACTGCAGCCTCTAACTCTAGGGCTCAAGCTATTCTCCCACTTTCAGTCACCCAAGTAGCTGGGACTACAGGTGCTCATCACCACGCTCAGTTAATTTATTGTTATTTTATTTTTATTTTTCTGAGGCAGAGTCTCACTCTGTTCTGTTGCCTAGGCTGGAGTGCAGTGGCATGATCTTGGCTCACTGCAGCCTCCACCTCCTGGGTTCAAGTGATTCTCCTGCCTCAGCCTCCCAAGCAGCTGGGATTACAGGCACCTGTCACCATGTCCAGCTAATATTTTGTATTTAATAGAGATGGGGTTTTGCTATGTTGGTCAGGCTGGTCTCAAACTCCTGACCTCATGTGATTCACCTGGCTTGGCCCCCCAAAGTGCTGGGATTATAGGCGTGAGCCACCACTGTGGGCCTAAAAAACTTTTTGTTGGTAGAAACAGGAGTCATGCTCTGTTGTCAGGTTGGTCTTCAACTCCTGGGCTCAAGCAATCCTCTTGCCTCAGCCTCCCAAAGTCCTGGGATTACAGGTATGAGCCACCATGCCTGGTGTGTCTTAACTTAGTGGTTTTTTTTTTTTTTTTTTTTTTTTTAGACAGTCTCCCTCTGTCACCCAGGATAGAGCACAGTGGCGCCATCTTGGCTCACTGCACCTGCCTGCCTCCCACGTTCAAGTGATTCCCAGACCTCAGCCTCTTGAGCAGCTGGGACTACAGGCACACACCACCATAACTGGCCAAGTTTTATATTTTCAGTAGGAACAGGATTTCACCATGTTGCCCAGGCTGGTCTTGAACTCTTGGCCTCAAGTGATTCACCCACCTTGGCCTCCCAAAGTACAAGGATTACAGGTGTGAGCCACTATGCCCAGAAGTCTTAACCATTTTTAAGAGGACATATCAGTAGTGTTAAGTACTTTCACATTGTTGTACAACCACATTCACATTATTGTTGAACATTTTCATCTTGCAAAATTATACCTAATTAAATAACTCCCCATTTTCCCCTACCCCTGGCAACCACCATTCTACTTTATCTATGAATCTGACAACTCTAAGTACCACATAAATTCATATATATGTTCTCATGTATCCATATATGTGTGGAATCATACAATATCTGTCTTTAAGTGACTGGCTTATTTTATTTGGCACGTCTGTTCTCAAGGTTCATCTATTTTGTCTTCATTAAAATATCAATGACATTCTTCAAGAAAATAGAAAAAAAAATACTAAAATTTATATGGAACCACAAAAGAGCCAGCATAGCCAAAGCTATCCTAAGCAAAATGAACAAAACTGGAGGGATCACATTATCTGACCTCAGATTATACTATGGAATTATGGTAACCAAAACAGCATGGTACATAAAAACAGACACAGACCAATGGAACCAGAGAACCCAGAAAGAAGTCCATGCACCTAAAAGTGAACTCATCTTCAACAATGGTGCCAAAAACATACACTGGGGAAAAAACAGTCTCTTCAATAAACGGCGCTGGGAAAACAGGATTTCCCTATGCACAAGAATGAAACTAGACCCCTATCTCTCACCATATACAAAAATCAAATCAAAATGGATTAAGGATTTAAAACTAAGACCTCGAACTATGAAACGACCACAAGAAAACATTGGGAAAAATCTCCAGGACATTGGCGTGGGCAAAAATTTCTTGAGCAACACCCCACAAGCACAGGCAACCAAAGCAAAAATGGACAAATGGCATCGCATCAAATTAAAAATCATCTGCAGGGCAAAGGAAACAATCAACAAAATGAAGAGACAACTCACAGAATGGGAGAAAATATATGCAAACCACCCATTTGATAAGGGATTAATAACCAGAACATACAAGGATCTCAAATGACTCCACAGGAAAAAAAGTCTAATAATACAATCAAAAAATGGGCAAAGAGCTTGAACATTTTTCAAAAGACATACAAATGGCAAACAGGCATATGACAAGGTGCTCATCACTGATCATCGGATAAATGCAAATCAAAACTACAATGAGATATTGTCTCACCCTTTAGTTAAAATGGCTTAGAGGCTGTGGAGAAAGGGGAACCCTTTTACACTGTTGGTGGAAATATAGATTAGTATAACCACTGTGGAGAACTATTTGGAGGTTCCTCAAAAAACTAAAAATAGAGCTACCAATTCAGCAGCCCCACTGTTGGGTATATACCCAAAAGAAAGGAGAGATATCTGCACTCCCTTGTTTGTTGCAGCACTGCTGATAACAGCTAAGATTTGGAAGCAACTTAAATGTCCATCAACAGATGAATGGATAAAGAAAACGTAGTACAGGCCGGACGCCATAGCTCACGCCTGTAATCCCAGCACTTTGGGAGGCTGAGGCAGGCAGATCGCTTGAGCTCAGGAGTTCAAGACTAGCCTGGGCAACTAAAATACAAAAATTAGCTGGTGTGGTGGCACATGCCTATGGTCCCAGCTACTTGGGGGACTGAGGTGGGAGGATCACTTGAGCCCAGGAGATGGAGGTTACAGTGAGCTGAGATTGTGCCATTTTGTACTCCAGCCTGGGTGACAGAGACCCTACCTCAAAAAACCCCAAAACAAACAAACAAAAAAACAAGAAGTAGTGCATATATACAATGGAATACTATTCAGCTATAAAGAAAGAATGAGATCCTGTCTGTCATTTGCAACAAGATGGATGGAAATGGAGATCATTATGTTAAGTGAAATAAACCAGGCACAGAAAGACAAACATCCCATGTTCTCATTTATGTGATCTAAAAATCAAAACAACTGAACTCATGGACATAGATAATAGAAGGATGGTTATCAGAGGCTGAGAAGCGTGGTGGGAGGCTAGGGGGAGGTGGGGAGCACTCATGGGTACAAAAACATAGTTAGAATGAGTAAGACTTACTGTTTGACAGCACAACAGGGTGACTAGAGTCAATAAAGTATATTTTAAACTAACTAAGAGTGTAATTGGATTGTTTGTAATACAAAGGACAAATGTTTGAGGGAATAGATGCCTCATTCTCCATGTGATTATTTCATGTTGCGTGCCTGTGTCAAAACATCTCATGTACCCCATAAATATATATACCTATGTACCCACAAAAATTAAAAATTAAAACATTGCCCAGGCGCAGTGGCTTACACCTGTAATCCCAGCACTTTGGGAGGCCAACCTGGGCAGATCATCTGAGGTCAGGAGTTCGTAACCAGCCTAGCCAACATGTCAAAACCCCATCTCTACTAAAAATACAAAAATTAGCCTAGAGTGTTGGCATATGTCTGTAATCCCAGCTACTCAGGAAGACTGAGGCAGAAGAATCGCTTGAACCTGGGAGGCGGAGGTTGCGGTGAGCTGACATTGTGCCATACTGCACTCCAGCCTGGATGACAGAATGAGATGCCATCTCAAAAAAATAAATAATTAAAAATTTAAACAATTGTAAAAAGGCTCATCCACTTTGTATCATGTCAGAATTTCTTTTTCAAGGTCACCAATGTTTCATTGTATGCATTCCACATTTTATCTCTTTATCCGTTGATGGGCACTTGTGTTGCTTCTATCTTGGCTGCTGCTAACAATACTGCTATGAACAAGGGTGTACAAGTATCTGAGACTCTACTTTCAATTTTTTGCACACGCACACACACACACACACACACACACACACACACCCCAGAAGTGGAAGTGCTGGATCATATGGTAATCCCATGTTTAACGTTTTGAGGAACTTCCATATTGCTTTCCACAGCAGTTTCATTACTTACATTCCCACCAACAGTACATATGTCTTCTAATATCTCCACATGCTCACCAACAATTGTTATTTTCAATTTTTTTGATAGTAACCATCCTCATGGGTGTGAGGTGGTATTTCGTTGTGATTTTGACTTGTATTTCCCTAATGATTAGTGACGCTGAGCCTCTTTTCATATGCTTACTGGCCAACTATATCTTCTTTGGAGAAATATCTATTCAAATCTTTTGCCTTTTGTTTTCTTTGAGACAGGGTATAGTTCTGTCACTCAGGCTGGAGTGCAGCAGTGCAATCAGGGCTCACTGCAGCCTCATCCTCTTAGGCTCAAGCAATCATCTCACCTCAGCCTCCTGAGTAGCTGGGATTATAGGTACCTGCCACCATGCCTGGCTAATTAAAAAAAAATTTGTAGCAACAGGGTCTCACCATGTTACCCAGGTTGGTCTTGAATTCCTGGGCTCAAGCAATCCTCCTGCCTCAGCCTCCCAAAGTGCTGGGATTATAGTGTGAGCCACAGTGCTTGGCCATTTTTGCTGCCCCCAACCCCTTTTTGGTAGTCTTCCTCTGTCACCCAGGCTGAAGTGCAGTGGCATGATTATGGCTCACTGCAGCTTCAACCTCCGAGGATCAACTGATGCTCCCGAATAGCCTCCCAAGTAGCTGGGACTGCAGGCATGCACTTCCATACCCAGCTAATTTTTTTAAATGTTTTGTAGAGATGGGGTCTATGTTACCCAGGCAGGTCTCAAACTCCTGAACTCAAGAGATCCTCCTGTCTTGGCCTCCCAAGGTGTTGGGATTACAGGCATTGCCTGACCTTCTGGCCATTTTAAATTGGGCTGTTTTCTGTTGTTGGCTGAGAGATCTTATTTCATAATAATGTAAACAATGTTACTTTTAACAATTTTAAAGTAATATTTTTGAAATATGTATTTTAAATATGTCATATAAAGTGCATTTCAAGTATTCAAGTATAAATATACACTCTGTTCTCCCAGTCAGAATAGAGTGGACTTTTTTTGAACCCCCTACTGATAACAATATTGTCATTATAAATTAGGAAACTGGAATTTAGAAAGGATGAGCACCTTACCCAATAGGACACTGTCTTTTTTAGTATTACCTTTAGACATCACTGAACTGTAGCCTGTTTTTGTCTAGGCTTAACTAGGGAAGAAGCAACTTTCAATGTCACCCAAGCAGTTAACAGAATCTATTTCCTGTGGCTGTGGAACTGAGGGCTCCGGCTTCTTGCTGACTGTTGGCTGGAGTCCTCCCTTAGCTCCTAGAAGCCTCCTGCAGTTTCTTGCCCCATTGTCTCCTCAACATGTGCACTTCATTAAGACAAAGAGAGCCTAGAGTGAATTTGCTAGCGAGATGGAGTCTTTATATAGTGTATATTATCAAGTTTGCCATTTTCTATTGCTGTGAAGCAACTCACAGACCCCAATCATAATCAAGGGGATGATACAGTAGAAAACGGCAAAGGGCATGACCACTAGGTTACCAGAGTGGCAGATTGTATTTTTCAAAAACAGCCACAGCAATATTCTCTGACATGGTCTTCTAGAACCTTGTTACTTTTCATCAACAATTTCCCCTGCTTCCCTGTCACTGAAGCTCAGTGACACTGTGATATGGCTTGCCTGGCTCTCTCTTTTGGGATACTTGCCCTTAGAACTCAACCTCCATGATCTGAGGCAGGCCAAAACAACCCATATGGAGAGATCACATGGAGAGGTTCACATGGTCAGGAATAGAGGCCTCAAACAACAGCCAGCATTAATTGTCAGCCATGCGCTTTCAAATAATTCCTGTCCTCAGCCTGAATCTTTCAGTTAAGGCCTTAGTCATTGTGGAGCACAGAAAAGCCAGCTTTTTTAAGTCCTGTGCAAATTCCTGACCAATAAACAAGCATAATAAATGGTTGTTTCATGCCACTAAATTTTGGGTTGATGTGTTACAAAGCCATAGTAATTGGGACGACACATTAATAAAATAAAGGAGAAATAACTCACAATTCTCTCAACACATGCAGAAAAAGAACTTGATAGAATTCAACATTTATTAATGATTAAAAAGTTCCAGCAAACTAGAAACTGAAGGGAACTTTATTAACCTAAGAGTTAATATATAAAACTTACTGCACACAGTGTATTTATTGATGAAATGTTGATAGTTTTTCCTCTATAATCACTTCTATTCATTATATTGAAAGTTCTTGCTAACTGAAAAGATAAAAGGCCTAAGAATTAGGAAGAAATAGAACTGCCTTTAGCTGCAGATTACATGTCTATATAGAAAATCCGAAATTATAATTAGGATTCAGTGAGTTTGGTAGGACTGTTGGACACTACAGCAACATTAAAAAATCAATTTTATTTCTATTTGAAAAAAAACAAAACAAAACAAAACAAAAAAAACTGAAGACTGGGCATAGTGGCTCATGCATATAATCCCAACTGTTTGGAAAGCCGAGGCAGGAGAATCATTTGAGCTCAGGAGTTCGAGAACAGTTTGGGCAAAATAGTAGACCTCATCTCTAAAAAAACATTAAAAAATTAACTGGGTGTGGTGGCGTGCACTTGTAGTCCCAGCTACGTCAGAGGAGGTCGAGGCTACAGTGAGCTGTGATGGCGCCACTGCACACTCCAGCTTGGGCAGCAGAGCAATACAAGAAAACACCTCTTAAAAGAGAGAATAATTAACAACTGAAAATTTAGAAGCTACTATTTTTAATAGCATCAAACATATTGCTTAAATATAAGTCTTACATAAAAAGTATGAAACTCTTAAACGAAAACAGTAAAACAGAGCAATAGAAAATCTAAATGGAGAAATACACTACATTCATAGACCAGAAGACTAAACCTCAAGATGTTACTCCCCTTCAAAATGATATATAAATTCAAGAAGATCACAATCAAAATTGCAATTGTGTGCACACATGTAAGTGTACTTGTGTGTAAGTTGGTAAGCTGGTTCTAACATTTGGAAATGCAATGACACAATATAAAAAAAAAGGAACAGGGTTAGAGAACTTTCTCATTAAGATACTCATATATATGATAATACTAGAGTAATTAAGAGTGTGGTATTGGGAAATGGAGAAACAAACAGATTGATAAAACAGAATACAGACATCAGAAATAAACTCAAATATATATATGGACACTTGTTTTACAGCAAAGATGGCAGTGAAGTGCCTTTTCAATAAATCGTGCAGGAACAATCTGTAAGTAGAGGAAGGAAATCTGACTCTTACCTCACACTTCACATAAACATATCTATTCCATATCTCTTTTAAAGCTAAATTTAAAAGGCTAAACATTTAAAATGTAACACAGAATATATTCATGAACTTGGAGTAAAGACTTCTTAAGTAGTACATAAAGGCTGGGTGCAGCGGCTCACGCCTGTAATCCTAGCACTTTGGGAGGTTGAGGCGGGTGGATTTCTTAAGGTCAGGAATTTGAGACCAGCCTGGCCAACATGGTGAAACCCTGTCTCTACTAAAAATACAAAAACTAGCAGGGCATGGTGATGGGCATCTATATACCCAGCTACTCGGGAAGTGGAGGCAGGAAGATCACTTGAGCCCAGGAGGCAGAGGCTACAGTGAGTCAAGATCACACTACTGCACTCTAGCCTAGGTGACACAGCAAGACTCCATTTCAAAAAAAAAAAAAAAAAAAAGTTAGTAGAAAACTATAAAAAATAAACACAAAAATCACTAAGGAAAAAAATAATACATTTCTCTAGTTTAAAATTAAGAACTTCTCAAGAGACATCATTAAGTGTATGACAAAGCAAGCCAGAGTGGGACAAGCGGTTTGGCACAGATATAACTGAAAAAAGAGTCAGATTCAGAATACATGAAGAACACCTACAAATTGATTAGAAAAGAATACTTACAAAGGCATTTCATAAAAGAGGAAATCAAATGGCCTATATAAATATGAAAAGGTGCTCAATCCCACTAATAACCAGGGAAATGCAAACTAAAACCACAATAAGATACCATTACATACCCACCAAAATGTAATGGTATAAGTGTAAATGAAGAACACTAAAAATACCAACTGGTCAGAACAGAGAACTTGCCAGGGGGGTCTTCGGAATATACAGTTGTTCAGTATATACTGTTAGACTTTTGATTGTTTTTATATATATTTTATGCAGATATGCTTTTCATTCTCATTCAGAGTTGGACCATCTGTAATTTTCTGATAGGTTTCTCTTATAAGCCCCCCGCCAAAAAAAAAACAATACTCACTGAGTATTCCAAATCCTATGTCCACATTTACAAACACTATATGTATTAGAGTATTTCTAATACCATACCATTCACTCACTGTTGTCCAAAGATTATCCAACTAGAATCTAAAATTCTGTAACATCTCCTGGTTTGGAAATGCTTCAATTTTATTAATTCTATGAAAGAAGATTCTCCCCAAATATTTCACTATTGGTTGCAGAAAATCTGGTTTGACTAAATCACCTTGATCTTTCTTTAAAAGGAGACTTCCAAGAGTCATGTTGTAGCATGGCGCCACCTGGTGGTTCCACCGCATCCCCAGTATTTTTTTTTTTCTTCTATCACATCTCCACTTTTTAGCCCTGTTCTTGTTTCTCCTCTGCACAGGTTCATCTGCCACTACCTTCCACACTAGACAGCAGCACAGTTAACACGTCCTCATAACCAATTCCAAACCTCTATAGAGTTTTACAGAATGAGATTAAGCACCTCTCTATATGTTTATTTGATAAATTTCTCTTTTATGAAGTGCTTAAGGTTTTTGCCTATTTTTCTATTGGGTATTACTTTTCTTTGGTATACAGAAGTACTTATTATATACCTGGACACCTGTCCTTTGAAGGTTATATGAATTAACATATTTTACAACTCTACAGACTTTTTGTTCTTATAAATGGTGTTTTTTGGTGAATGTATTTTAATATAGTCAAATATAACAATCATTTTCTTTAGAGTTACATTTTCTTTTATTTAAGAAATCCTGGCCAGGCAAGGTGACTCACGCCTTTAATCCCAGCACTTTGGGAGGCTGAGATGGGTGGATCATCTAAGATCAGGCGTTCAAGACCAGCCTGGCCAACATGGAGAAACCCTGTCTCTACTAAAAAAAAAAAAAAAAAAAAAAATACAAAAATTAGCAGGACCACAGTGGCACGCACCTGTAATCCCAGGTACTTGGAAGTCTGAGGCAGGGCAATGGCTTGAACCTGGGAGGTAGAGGTTGCAGTGAATCAAGATTGCTCCACTTTACTTCATCCTGGGTGGCAGCGAGACTCTGTAACAACAAAAACCAAAACAAAAAAGAAAGAAAGAAAAATCGTGACCACTCCTGAGATTTTTGATATGCAACTTCATTATTTCTTCTGTAAGTGTTTGGTAGAACTTACCAGTAAATTCATCTAAGAATGAAGTTTTCTGAAAAACTTTTTAAATAAAAAAAAATTTTCTTTTTTTTTTTTTTGAGATGGAGTTTCACTCTTGTTGCCCAGGCTGGAATGCAATGGTACAATCTCGGCTCACTGCAACCTCTGCCTCCTGAGTTGAAGTGATTCTCCTGCTTCAGCCTCCCGAGTAGCTGGGATTACAGGCATGCACCACCATGCCTGGCTAATTTTGTATTTTTAGTGGAGATAGGGTTTCTCCATGTTGGTCAGGCTGGTCTCGAACTCCTGACTTCAGGTGATCCACCCACCTCAGCCTCCCAAAGTGCTGGGATTACAGGCGTGAGGCACCGCACCCAGCTGTGATTAACAGAGGACTACAACATTTTCCATCTTGTTATAGTTTTTGGTAAGCTGTGTTCTCTGTGAGTTTGTATATTGTATGTACATTTTACTTATTCAAAGTGTCCTAATATCTCTCTAATTACTTTGTAATAATTCTTTAGTTAGGTGCGGTGCCTCATGTCTACAATGCTAATACTTGAGGAGGCTGAGGCGGGAGGATTGCTTGAGATCAGAAATTCAAGACCAGCCCGGGGAACATAGCAATATTTCATCTCTCTTAAAAAAAAAAAAAAATAGCCAGGCACATTTGTAGTCTCAAATACTCAGGAACTGAAGTGGGAGGATCACTTGAGGTTCAGGCTGCAATGAGCTACAACTGTATCACTACATCCCAGCCTGGGCAACAGAACAGGATCCTGTCCCCGACCCTCCCCACCAAATAATAATTCTTTTCCATCTCCAGCATTGGTTAGTTCTGCTATTGTTTTCCTTGATCATTTTCACCAAGGGTTTATCAATTATTCTTCCAAAGAGTGATTATCATGCCTCAGCCTTCTGAGTAGCTGGGACTACAGGCACCTGCCACCATGCCTGGTTGATTTTTGTATTTTTAGTAGAGATGGGGGTTTCACCATGTTGGCCAGGCTGGCCTCGAACTCCTGACCTCAGGTGATTTGCTCACCTTGACCTCCCAAAGTGCTGAGATTACAGGTGTGAGCCACCGAGCCTGGCCCAATTTATTCTTTAATTTTTTTTGTAAGTTATATTTCTCATTAATTTCTACTATTCCTTCCATTAGTTTAACTTGCTCTTCTTATTCTAGTTTCTTTTTTGAGATGGAGTTCTGCTATTGTTGCCCAGGCTGGAGTGCTATGGCATGATCTCAGCTCACTGCAACCTCCATCTCCCAGGTTCAAGCAATTCTCCTGCCTCAGCCTCCCAAGTAGCTGAGATTACAGGCATGCACCACCATGCCCGGCTAATTTTGTATTTTTAGTAGAGACAGGGTTTCTTCATATTGATCAGGCTGGTCTCAAACTCCTGACCTCAGGTGATCTCCCTGCCTCGGCCTCCCAAAGTGCTGGGATTACAGGCGTGAGCCACCAGGCCTGGCTATTCTAGTTTCTTGAGAGTGCTTGTTAATCTTTCTTCTTTTCCAATATATACACTTAAGGCTATAAGCTTCCCTTTAAGTATGGCCTTAGTCATATTCCTATTTTCAGTTCAATTCAAAATAACTTCCACTTTCCACAGGATTTGGAGGCACATTTCTTCCAAATTTCATAATTTTTGTTCAGTTCTGTTGTAATCAGACTGCCTTCTCTGTATGATTTAAGCCCTCTGAAATTTGTTAGTTTCTTTATGGCCTAAAATTTATTCAACATTGATAAATGCTCCATGTCCCTCTGTAAATAACATATATTTTGCAGTTATTGATACAGCGTTCTATGCAGACCCATTAGATTAAATTTGTTAACTATGTTGTTCCAATTGCCTATTGCCTTACTGATTTGGTGGAAAGGGGTGTGTCTGCTTCTATCATTTACTGAGACAGCTATGTTAAAATCTTATGTATAGACTTCTGCCTTTTTGGTCAGGATAGAATACCTGGCACTCTATTCTCCTGTCTGAAGCAACTAAAAAACTGAAGAATATACATAAAATGTCACTTAAGACATGTACCATCAGGCATTCTGAAGAACAGTAACTGCTGACAGAACATGAAACAAAAGAGGTAAGCCCTGCCATTGCCCCAGAGTTTATTTCCTGAAGAACATTTCCAGGCCATAATGCAAAGGAGGGGAAATGCAGGCCAGAGCCCATCAATTTTAAGAGACAGAGGTGAGAGTCAGGGAGGCTAAAATGGCTAGAGTTGAATCTTTCATAAATTCTCCCAATGACAGACAAAGAGGAAACAACTTCCAGCTCTTTCCATGAGGACATTTTCACATTAACACCAAAATCTGACAAGGGTATGAAAAGAAAGGAAACTTATACACTACCTCTTTTTTGAACACATAGGCAAACATTCTAAATAAAATACTGCAGAATAAATCCAGAGATACACAGAAATAATAACATGACTAAGTGGGAAGTTTATTCTAATAAAGCGGATGGTGAGGTAGGAGGGCAATGAGTAGACTGGGAGGAATTAACACTATGAAATCTATTATTAATTCATTAGATTAACAGGTAAGAGAAAAATAATTTGATCATCTCAATAGATTCAAGAAAAGCATTTGACATAATTCAACACCATATACTTTCTTAACAAAGTATAAATAAAACCTCCTTAAACCCATAAACACCAAAAAATCCTACGGCAGTCACCATGCTCAAGGGTGACATCCTAATGCATTCTCCCTGAGATCAGGAACAAAGAAAGGAATTCTATTCTGACCACTTTTTGAGACAGGGTCTCACTCTGTCACCCAGGCTGGAATGCAGTGGTACGATCACAGCTCAACCTCCTAGGCTTGAGCGATCCTTCTCCCATCTCAGTCTTCCAATTAGCTGGGATCACAGGTGTGCACCAGCATGCCCAGCTAATTTTTGGTAGTGATGGGGTTTCACCATGTTGTCCAGGATGGTCTTGAACTCCTAGGCTCAAGCGATTCTCCCACCTCAGCCCCCAAAGTGCTGGGATTACTGGTGTGAGTCACTGCATCTGACCCATTCTGACCACTTCCATTCAACACCATACTGGGCATTTTGGCCAGTGCAATAAGATAAGAAAAGAAAGAAAATGCAAAATGACTAGAAATAAGTTATGAACAGATGATATGAATATTCAGAATATTCCAAGAGAATTCACAAATTGTTAGCACTAACCAATGAACAGAGCAAGGGTGCTAGGTACAAGGTCATTATAAAAATCAATTTAAATATTGTAGCAACAAATAGTAAACAAACACTCAAATAGAGACTTCACAAAGTGGTAAAAATGGCCAGTAGTATTTGAAAATATGCTTAGCACTATTAGTCACTATTAAAACTTAACCACAAGACACCAGTATATACTTACCAGAATGTCTGAAATGAGAAAAATAATAGGCTGACCAGGCTTCTACAGAGGCAGCCTCTGGGAGAGCCAGTTCTTCCCTTTGACTATCAAGCACTTCTTGCGAGCAGTAGGGATTAAGGAAGTATATTTCTGGACAACCACATCCGTAACTGCAGGGACTGTGTCTCCGACATCAGACATAGATAGTAACTTGCATTTGTTTCCTAGAGTTGCTGTAACAGATTACAACAAATTGGGTGGCTAAGACAACAGAAATTCATCATCTCACAATTTTGGAGGCCAGAATTCCAAAACCAAGGTGTTGGCATGGCACTATTTCTTCTGGAGGCTTTGGGGAGAATCCCTTGTCTATTCTAGGTCCTGATAGCTGTCAACATTACTTGACTTGTGGCTACAACTCTCTGCCATCTTCAGGTTGTCTTCCCATCTTCCTTAGTCTCTCTTTTACAAGGGCACTTGTGATGGCATTTAGGACCCATTCATAATATAATCTCATCTCTAAATGCTTAATTACATCTGCAGAGACCCTTTTCCCAAATAAAGTAATATTTACAAGTTCTCCAGGGATTAGGGTTTGATATTTTTGGGTAGCCATTTTTCAATGTACTGTACTTAATGTATTTACTTTTTATTTTTTAAAAAAATTTAATTTCACCAGTGCTATTTTCCTTTTTGAGACAGTTTCGCTCTGGTTGCCCAGGCTGGAGTGCAATGGTGCAGTCTTGGCTTGCCGCAACCTCCGCCTCCCGGGTACAGGTGCTCACCACTGTCTAGCTAATTTTGGTATTTTTAGTAGAGACAGGGTTTCACTATGTTGGCCAGGCTGGTCTTAAACTCCTGACCTCAGGTGATCCACCCACCTAGCCTCCCAAAGTGCCAGGATTACAGGCATGAGCCACCACGCACGGCCGAGAAATCTATTTTCTAAGTAAAGAAATACACTAGTGAGACTGGAGAAATGGTTGGGGGGCAGAATGGCCTGGGAAAACCTGGTGTGTGTAGATGGGGTGAACTGAAAGAAGGTGAAAGTCTTAGCTATAATGGGAGTTACATTCTCTGGGTACCAAGGGAAAACTAAGAGGTGATTTTATAAAGAAGAGCTAAAGCAGAATTTCCTTCTTCTTTTTCAGGGTCCTGGGATCTAATCTCATAAAAGAAGTGACTGTATTTACATATATTGCCCCAAAGGGGGGGCAATAGGCATGCTTTGGTAGACCCAGCTAGCTGCCTATTTGAAATTGATTCTTTTCCTTCTTCACTGAAAAGAATCCTACATTTGTGAGGAACATCAATTGCTCAGTAAAATAGATCATTTCCAAGGCACCCTTGCAGCCACCAGTCATGCAACACAGGTCTAACTAGTGGGATGTAAGTAGAAACATGCAAATGGAGCTTCTGGAAATGTTGTACTGTTCTTTTTGTGTAGAAAGACACATATTTGTACCTTTTCCCCTAAGCCTTTCCTTTTCATGCCCTCCACCTCCCCCATCCTTGAGAGCATCATGGAGGAGTTACAATATCAGCCCCGGAGAGTTTACCTGTAGACTATTCTATTAGAAGAAGAAAACAAACAAACAAACAACAGTAACACAAACGCCCCAACTGAATTTAAGCCACTATTATTTGGTGTGTCATCAAACACAATTTTTAAAACCTAAACAATAGCTATGGTGTTTCACAGATTTGACATCATCAACAATAAATGGACCACTCCAATTGTTCTGGATACTTAAAAAATACGGCCTTCACACCAATATAGGTCCCAGACTGGTACTCTTGAATGACTAAGGTGTAATTATTTCATCTGTTCCATATATTTATAATCAAGTACAGAGAAGATTAATGTAGATTCTTTATTGATTCCATCAATGTATTAGTAGATATGATAATAATAAATGGTACTTTTACATTCTCTTAACCAAAAATATAACAAATATTTACACTCGGTAAAAATACAAAAAGCATACAGAGGCACTGTCTTTCTAAAAGACGTAAGTGTAAGAGGTATCAAAAAATAGAAGACAAACATTGCTTGTTATAGCATACAATCAATGAATTGTGCAGTATAATTGCTATCTGATTATTACAACTGTGCAGTTTTGTTTTTGTCTTTTGCTGATTAGCTTATATGTCTCAATTTTAAAAGATCACGTTCAACTGCATTCTGTGTATCAAAACTAAAGAAGCCTTAAAAATAAACAACAAAAGTGAAACATGAACCAGGATTCAAGTTGAAATTTGAAAATGCACTGTGACACTTTTCTGTAAGATTTATCCTGTTTTTCTAGTCTTTAAGGTAATGCTGAAGGAATACATATACTTTAACATCACCTTTTTTAGAAACTTAAAATTGTATCAAAATAATCATTGTTTTAAGAAAGGTTTTTCTCCTCCTCCCTTTTTTGTAGAGGAAAGAACATTTTATAAAAATTAGATTTGTTCTTAGAAACACCCATGATTACCATCACATTATCAGCCTGGGAGAGATTCTCAAGGAGGTGATGTAGATGGCAATGATGTTACTTATCACCCTCAAGAAAATTCATTAAAGGCTTTTTCTCCTCAAAGATCATATTGAAAGTAATCATTTGGAGTAAATGAGAATTATTTACTGTAATAAAATTTTATGGAATCAGGTACTAGATTTACTAATTCTCAAAAATCTTTCACCATGAAGAGGTTTTGTTGAAACCTACTATTTGGCAAAAGTTTGCACTGAGGGTTAACTGCTTCAATAGTCTTGGCAGATTTATAGTTGTAGTGGGAATAGAGGGCACTAATCTCTTCATTAAAATTATAAATTTATAAAACAAAAACAAATGGAGATCTGGAATTGGAGTAAATGCAAGTTAAGGCTTCTGAACTTGTTCTAGTCATATGACAAAGTAAGAGAAGGCAGGAATGTACTCTTAGTTAAAATATAAAAATCAAAACCTCATGATTTTTTAAGGAATACATATATAACAAACTACAAAGCATCTGGCTTTGGCTCCTGATCAATGTGATCAGCTGATCTGAACACTCACAGTTAAAGTTAGATAGATAAAACGAAAGGCAGCTATAAGGTGCAAGTCCAAAACCATAGGCCTCAACTCTCTGTGCAAGATATTTACACTATTAAGGACAAAGACAGGTAAGGCTTCCATTCGTTTTGAAAGACCTGCTAAATAAACACATTATGAAAGCAGCATATTTTTCTGGAGAAACGAATATAAAATGGTGAGTAGACATCTGAACTTGATTTAAAAAAGGGGGTTTAGTAAAAATATGTTTCACTATGTTTTTCTGTGGCCATGAAAACAAAATTATGTATATTAGTGAAGGAAAACATTTATAATCAGAAGACCACTGTTTATAGGCCAAGTCACTTGAGTGTAACTTTCAAACTAGGGATTTTTGGTTTAAGTTATTTCCCATTTCAAAGTATCTAGAAAGCTATGGAACCACCAGGCCTCATTCTAGCACACCTGGGATTAATTTCTAAGGCTTAAGTTTCAGATTAATGTTTCTTTACCACAGGAATTTTTCAGACATGCTATTATTCCTAAAATAAATATAAATCATTTTGATGGGAAAAATGAACTACCACCATTTACCACTTAAAATTGATTTGCGATTTCAAAATGAAGGGGGACAGGCAGGAAGATAGAGTGAAGACAGCTAGGGAAAGACAACAAATTTCTACAAAGGAGGTCACAAACCAACTAAATCTTATGTGGACACATATGGACAGCCATTCAAGGTAAACCCATTTTGGCTCCAAGTTGATCTGGGTAGTGCATGTTAATGGCTTTGGCTTTTTTTTTCTTTTGGTAGTTACAGAAGTTTATTAAAATTCCACTTGTCTTTACACTAATTGAAAAAATTAAACAATATGTAGAAAACATTATATTTAATTTGCAAAAATGTGAAAAATCTACCTCATTCAGTAAACAGTCACTGAAATTTTAATTAAGAGTGCCATGCCCATGAGGCTGGAAAAGTATGTCCTCTCAAGGGCTAAAAACTGAGAACCAAGAGACAATCATTTCTATAACTCCAGCTCCTCTTTCTCCCACAAAATTGTACTGCAGGGTATGTAAGGTCAGACACAATCTGGTGCTATGAGATGTGGGGGTGGCAAGCTGCAGAACACTGCATAAAGTCAAATTTACCTTCATGATTACAACACCTATGATAAAAATTTCTTTTAAAAAAGTATTCCATACTTGTGTTAGGAGAGATTTTAGTTTTGGGTTTCTATAGACTAGAACTCTCTAGAACCCATTCTCTATTTATTGGATCTATACTTTTAGTTACAATTTGATGCAGCATAACTTTCACTTAGGAAACAATTTGTATACATGTAATTTAACACCAAAATTTCATTCTTTGGAATTTAGGGTTCCCACCCTCCTCCCCAAACTACTCCCTCCCCTTTCCCAAATGACTGACAAGAAACCCCATGGCAGCTTCATTTGGCCTTTCACACCATGACCAGCAGGTTCCTAACACCTCAACTGCAAAGGGCTTCCTATTTCTCTCAAACTGAGACATACATTGCATTGGTTCTACAGATCAAGTCATGTCTCTATGTAGATCAAGCATATCATCTCTGTAAAGATGACTTCTGTTTGGTCAGACCAGAGACAGTTTTATGACCTCACACATGAACTTCAGCTAACAAGAACTCTCAAATACAAACAAAACCACAACAATTCAAATAATAAGTTATTTTTCAAATATACAAGAATATCCTTGGTATTGGCAGACACTTTCAATTTGTCCTTCAGCCCAAGCTATGGCTTGGAAATAATAATGCCACTATCTTTAAAATAACTTGTTAAAGAAAAGTCTATAGCAATGTACACAAGGATCTCTCTGAGTTTAAATTTTTTCTGTAACTGTGGTCCCAAGGCAGTTCTGGCGTGCAAATTGGAGACTGGTATCCAGGCACAGCATCCATAGCTCAGGAAACTATTCATCTGCAGAAATTAAGTGAAAGGAAGCATAACTCAGGGTATTTCATTGCTTGGCGTAGAGGGAATAAAACCATTGGACTAGTTGTAGCAGTGAATTGTTTGTTAGCAATGGCCTGCAGAATCATGAAGTGGTTCTGCCCACTCCTCAATGACTTTCAGTGGTTTTCAAGTAGGTCATCTGAAGGCTAGACTGCTGAAACTTGTTCATTTTCTGAAAATAATAAAAATATAATTAACTGGCAGATCAGCATATTAATGAGATCAACTACAATCTAGTTATCTGGTTAGAAAATCAATGTCAACAAAGAAATCCTCTCAAACACTGCATCAAGGCCCAGATTTTATTATAATACCTATGATTTCTGATCACAATGAAGGTTGAAAATAAACTGTTATAGTTTTTAGTCACTTTATTGCTCTTGTTTAAAAGCATATAATTTCATTTATTTTCAATAAAACAATAATTTCTCAAACTATTGGCTCACATACAAAGTCAAGAGCTTTGCTAATAAAAGGAACTGTATCAACAGCATCATTTTGGATAATTTGGCATTTAAAATACAGTTTCAAGTTTCCATGCATTAATGTAAAACAATTCCATTAATGTTAACTGCTTTTTCTCAAAATTATCCCATTAGATTGAGCCACTGTTTTATCAAAGATAAGAATATTGCATGTGAGCCATGGGGTACCGGGCACACAGAAATAAGCAGCTTGCCCTTTTCATTAAAAAAAAACAAAACAAAACACCGTAAGTGCTGGGTATAGTG